GACACAAATAACATTTCTAACATATGAAAATATTTAAACGGGTAATTATAATATAATTGACACAAGATAGTTATGGTTGACAAAGAAAAAAAGATAGTTATGAAATATATTTTAAAATTTGATTCTGGAACACTGCCGATTTTGAGTATAAAACAAAAATTGAATTTCAGACCACAATTATTAGCAAGGCCGTCTCAAATAAATTTTAGACCATGTTCAAAAAAATTAACGATATATTTATGATTTAATGGTTTTTTAAAACATTAATAACTATGTTTGATGTTTCTTTAAAAATTATAAGTTCTAATCTAGCAATATATCTATGTTTTATAAAAAATATCAAAATTTATCTATATATTTCTTAAAAAGTTCTTAATTTTTCATTATTTTTTCTTTATTTTTATATTTTTTTATATTTGGGACCATGTTCAACCGTTTCACTTACGCATGCTATTAAACGGCCATGATTATTAGATATTCTTTATTTTTTACAGAATATTTATTAGTCTACTGATAAGTATGGTTGTCATTCACGAATTATTATTTAGCTTATAGCTCATTATTTGTCTAATCTAATTTCTAATTATGTGGTCTTTATAATTTATGGGTAAGTTCTGTTCTTTAAAAACTAAAAAAAATGTTCAATAAAACTATTTTTTAATAAAATTATAGATTTATAACATATCACTTACAATCAGTCATAAAGAAAAATTAAATACACAATAACTACGTTACAAAAAGACTAAAAAGGGAAATGAGATCAATGTTTGAAAAATAAATAAAAGTGGAAGCTAGAAAAAAAATAAAATGAAAAAGGAAAATGCTGAGAGCATCATATAGAACCCATTACCATATACCAAAAAACACATCACACGGTTCATTCTTTTGTAAAACATTGCATGGAACGCAATTTATAGGAACTCTAAAATTAATAAACATGAACCGATTAAAAACTTTCTAAGAGCATCTCCATTAGAGTCTCATAAGGGGGGTTCACCCCTTTCCCAAAAAAAAATAATTAAAATAATATTATTTGGGTGAACCTCTCTCCAAAAGGTTCATGGTAGTGAACCTGTTTCACATGGGGTTCGCCACGTGGCGGCACCCCATTTGTCCAAATTTTTTTTTTTAGAAAACAAAAAAAAAAAATTAAAAAATCAATTTTTTTTTTTTTGGTGAACCCCATGGGGGGTTGACCAATGTGGATGCTCTAACATAGTATGGGGCACGTGCCCCACCCACCTTAGCCGTAGATCCACCCCTGGGTCCAGGGTGTTCCCGGGTGTCACGTAGCTCTACTGGTTATACGAAATTATAATTGTGTATGGATTTCATTGTTCGAAGCTTTTTATGCCTGTCTATTTCTTGATTTTTGCACGATTTCTTTTAAGCAATGGGCCAAAAAATATGTTGGCTTCTAGGCCGGTATATATCAGACTCAGCCCTGACTGGGATGGTATAAGTGATGTGCAGTTCTAGCGTCCACGGTTTGAACTACATGTTCTTCATTTTTTGCTTTATTCTAATTAATGTTATAATATTATGAAAACTAAATAAGAAAATGTCATCTTACTCGTAACTGAGATATTAAAAGAGAAAAATGAAAATAAGATAATGACTAGTATTCAGGAATGTCTCAAGATGTGCAAATAGACTTTTAAAATGTATCTTGTTATATATATTTAAGAAGTTATTCTTCAATACATATGTAAATTTCATGAATTTGAATTATATGCATACGAACAATATTACTCAATAATAGCATCTCTCGAAAATTTACGAAGATGCTGTTAATTGTGTATGATATATCTTTACAAAATTTAGATATAAAATTAATAAAGGTCTTCCAAAAACTTTAGAAACATGTTTTACATATTTTAAAAATATATTCATCAAGGTTTTCCTAAATATACATTTAAGAATGTATACATTTAAATACACATTTATACAAGTTTTTCTAACGTTATGAATATTTACAAATATCTTTCTAAACTTTTAAGAAAGTATTATACTTATTAAGGTCTTGCTAAACTAAAATTTATGAAGATAATATCTCATCATCTATGTTTACTCACCACATTTGATAGACTTTCAAAGTATAAGAAGTGAAATGGGATTGTGTTTTATAGCTGCGTTCTTCGAACCTAAATGACTTTAGCTTCTACGAAGAGAGACAGAGAGCTATTCAAGACAGCAAAGCCAGACTGTGTTTTTCTTGAGAATCTCACATTCTCGCCTCCCACCTCTGTTCAACACATCCCACAAATTTTCTCAACAACGACTTTGGTCTTGCAACACAGACTCAGTTAAGTTAAACGTTAGAACCTAACAATAACTTTTGAACGTTGGATGATTTTAGTTATGTGCGGAAAGAGAGATCCAATTAAGTGGAATGTTCACTCATTACAACAAATGGTCCGAACCAAGAAACACACTTGAAACGATAGTCTTGAAATATTTTGAAACAAAAGCACCACATAATAAAGAAAGAAAGGTAACACCCCTAATGTCACGTGCCTACCATCTAGGCCAAACCCATCCTAGGCAAGATCGAGACACAGAAGACGGTCATCAAAGCGAGGGCTAGAGCCACGGTGGCGTGACCATCTCTTATGGAAGCTGATCCTCCTGTACCCGTAGACGCCGCTGGAGTTGCGGGAGACTTCCCTGCTGGCGCCGCTGGTGTTGTTGATGTGGCATTGCTTGTGAATACGGCTGCGTCTGGTGAGCTCGGCGAAATCCCGAGAAGCTCTGTTCATTCATGCATATATTAACATATAACGTCACTTAACCATGTATAACTAGCATCGTCATTTTCCAATATAACATGGCATTATTATTTTTAACTAAATATGTATGGTTTAAACAAAAGTGCAATGATCAATTCAATGTGAAAAGAAGAGAATAGTTACTTCGGGAGTGAATAAAGAAGGGACCAGCTGAATTTCTTATTTAATTGCAACTATTATTAGATACAAATTGGTTGTATTTTGGAAATAAAAATGGTTGTATAAAAAGTAGGTTATATTTGTATTTTTTTTTTTTTTGACATAGGTTATATTTGTAAATGTGCTACATATTAAATACGATTCGCAGTAAATATAGCTGCAACCCAAGACACATGTCGCATTAAGTACTATAGTCTATAGTATAACTGTATAAGCATACAAAAATAGTTTTGTGTGTAGATGTGACAATGGAAATTTAACTACTGAAACAGTCGGTTATGTGAACAAACAAAAAAAAAACAGTCGGTTAAAGCTTAAAACTTATTAACCGACAAAAAAACACCTTGAAACATCAAAACACTAACAGAACTCAGAAAGCAAGTTTTGTAGACCATGGCTCCTATTAGATAGCTTAAGAAAGACTTCATTATAATATGAAATTAAGATTAGTAAGATTCTAGAATTTCAGTAATCTATTTCCTCAAAAAGTGCAATGCTGAGATACTAAAACCACATATACATCAACCACATGCATTTCTCGAATTTAAATCTGAGTGAAACCATATAGTATATATATATATATGAACTAATAAAAGAATCGAATATTTAAGAAACGTACTTGGACAGTTGGAGATGCTAGCGTTGTGGAGCTGACAAGAAGTTGGAAGTTGAATGAGTTTATCTTCTTGGACACCAAGATCTTTCAAAGCTTGTCCTCCTGTCTTCGCTTGTTGTATCACGTAACACAAACACTTTGGATCCCTCTCTTTTGTATCTTCGATAGCGTCACAACACTTCTTAGACGGATTTGGTGCCTTCCCGGTCGCAAAATCCAAACACAAAGTCACCTTTTGAAAATCTTGGTTGCATTCTTCTGCCAAAGCTCCTCCTGCCGCCGGAGCCGCAGGTGCAGCCGCGGAGATGGATGCAACGACCGTCATAGAGACTAGGAAGAGGTGGAAATGAATACCCTTCATTATGAGATTCTTTTTTTTTCTTCCTTTTTCTGATTTTGCTTTCTTTGGGTTGATGGAGATTTTGTTTGTATTTAAAAGGAAAAAATGACTTTGAGGTGTGTGTTGTGTAGTAAATGCCACTGAGGACGTGGTGTGTGTAGTTGGGAGCTTAGATCGACACCTATACACATGAACATTAACGACGCTGATATAGTTGTTGACTTATTGGCCTTTCTTTTGTTTGCATGTTGTATTATCGACAAACACATCCTGAAAATGCTTAATTTGAAAGAAAACAATTTGAATTTGCTTTTTAGAAAATAACGCATTTAACAGAGGCTCATTCAATTGCGCAAATGATTATGTAGACTGTGATTCTTTTGTTCGTTTCATGTAATTTGCTTACAACTAGAGTAAATGTAAATAACTGTTGAAGAATATGTATCAGCCATCAACAAAAAGGTATTTTCCATTTGATGATAAAATTTTAAAATATCGTAGATTGGTACAGTATTTTATTAGTTTTTGTACATGAAACGTAATATTTTTGTAACAATTTTTTTTTTAAACTCGCACGATCTTAAACCGGAAGGATAAACAAGTATGTATGTAACAAAAGAAGTCCGGGTTGACTGCAACGGAAAGTGATAAACGCATCCACACGAGAGTAATTGCTACAACGCATTTTGTACTAAACTTATCCTTCACATAAGATCGACAAACGAATTCTCAGTTTCTAGTAATTTTGTCGCTTTCATTCATACAAAAATATTCTGAGCTATATAATTCTCAGGGACAGTTGTATCCTACCATTAACTATGTACATGTGACTCTTTTTATTGGGTCCATTCTCAATCAACATCTCTCTCATATTGTGATGCTAGATCCGTAAATTATGAAAATCTCTTAAAAGAGAATTCCACAAGTGTTGACCCCCAAAAGAAAGTTGTTGTAATCCATTTAATGCTGCTACGCCATTTCTACATTTGACGACAACATTTATCTTCTTTTTTTGACAACTATCAAAATTAATAAGATAACATCTCTATGATAACATCTCTATCAATACGGCGTATTATTGCCTTACGGATCCATCATGGAAAGTGAGGGTGAGATAGGAGGCATTGGATGGTCCTTGTTTAGCAGAGAAGGCATTCAATATCTCCAAGGCTCTTCATCTATAAGATTAACAAATACGCCTATTGAAGCAGAAGCGCAGGCACTTTTATCAGCTGTTAAGAAGCTAAGAGCATTGAGATACAAGCTTATCACTTTCTTATGTGACTGCAAATCTTTAATGGATGAGTTGAATAAGTTCACTAAAGATTCAATAATCAAAAGACTCCGTAACAAGGAAGCAGCTTCCATGATACATGACAACTCGAGTCTTCAAAGACAAATGCATTTACCTTTTGTTATGTATCTAGAAACTCTTTGCATCATGTAGATGAACTTGCTAAGCAAGCAAGAAGAACCAACTAAAATTAACTATGTAATTAAATGGATGTTTTAATCAAATTAAAAGGGTTGCAACTTTCTCACGAATATCAATTATATATACTCTCAAGGCTTCGTTGTGTATTGTCTATTGATGTTAATTTCTGAGACAATGTTATATATGGAAACTTTTAGAATGAAATTGAAAAGAGATCTCCAAGATCAAAAATATACTTATGAACTTTTAGAATCTTAAGGCTTCGTTGTGTATTGACTATTGATGTTTGGGACTGTTATTATAACCTTATTGTACTTTCTTATTTGACATGGTAATGGACTAATGGTATATGCAACAATCTTGTTTATTTTATTTAATTTGGGCAATGGACGATCTTGTTAACTGTTATCTTCCGCAAACCAACGTGGGCACGAAAAGTCATATATTCCAATAAACAAGCAAACGTCAACAGTACACACTGACATATTTTTCAAATTCAAATGAACCACAGTTACGTGTCTTGCTCATATCATCCACTTTACCCAAAGCTACTCGAATGGTCGGATACGAACACGTGTCACAATACCAGAGGCCATCCTCCAAAAAATAGTAACCCAATATTTTTCAACTCATTTCTCACCAATCAACAATTCTATTCACATTACCACTTCCTCATTTCAAGCTCTGAAACTTTGAACAAAACACACACAAAAAAAACAAGAACAGTCAGATCTAACAATAAAGAAAACAAAAACAAGATGAGCAACATCATCCCACCGGAGAAAAGATCCATCATCACATTCCTCCTCCTCGCCGGTCTCATCGGCAGCGCTCTACTCTTCACCACCTTCATACGTTCAGCCGACGACGCTTTCTTCCTCTGCTCCACCGCAAGCGCCAAAAGCCGAGCTATAGCCGCGGCTGCTGACTACTCAGCAACCCCTATCCAGCTCCAAGCCATCGTCCACTACGCGACCTCCACCATAACCCCACAACAAAACATAGACGAGATCTCAATCTCCTTCAACGTCTTGAAAGAGCTAGCCCCCGCCAACTTCCTCGTCTTCGGCTTGGGCCTTGACTCACTCATGTGGGCCTCTCTTAACCCACGTGGCAAAACCATATTCCTCGAAGAAGATCTCGAGTGGTTTCAAAAAGTAACCAAAGACTCCCCTTTCCTCCGTGCGCATCACGTGCGTTACAGAACACAGCTTCAAGAAGCCGACAAGCTTCTACGCTCTTACAAGACGGAACCTAACTGTTTCCCGGCGAAGTCGTTTCTTAGAGGAAACGAGCGTTGCAAGCTCGCGCTCACGGGGCTTCCCGACGAGTTCTACGACACGGAGTGGGATCTGATCATGCTCGACGCTCCGAAAGGCTACTTCGCCGAAGCTCCGGGGAGAATGGCGGCGATTTACTCGGCGGCGGTTATGGCTAGGAACAGGAAGAAGCCTGGAGTTACTCACGTGTTCTTGCACGACGTTGACAGGAGAGTTGAGAAGACTTTCGCGGAGGAGTTTTTGTGTGCGAAGTATAGAGTTCACGCCGCCGGGAGGTTGTGGCATTTCGCGATTCCTCCCGTGGCTGCGAACGCTAAAATCGACGGTGGAGATTACAGGTTCTGTTAAAAAAATTGTGACACGTCGTCACACGGCTTTTTGTTGTTTCCACTTTTGCCCTTTTTTTACTTTCGGATCTCTTGTTATTACTACATAGGGTTCACTTATTTATCTGAGTTAATGCCGATTGTTTTGGATCTACATCTATCGGTATTCTCTTGTTTTTTTAGTTACGTGGAGTTTACGTATTGCATATGTCATGTTTACATCGTAGTTTCCTTATTTAAAATAATTTGACATTTTTATCTTAAGTAGAAGGTAAATAATTTTTTTTTGGTGGAGAACGTAAAAGTATAAATATAATAGCAAACCTGGGCAACTCTTTTACGACATTTTTCATCAGTCTAAAAGTCTCACTAGTTAAGACGTTTTTTGTTTACTAGTATAATTAAAATCGTAAAGGGAAAGACTTTTCTTTCTGATAAAAGGTGGGTGTTGCTTAGTTATTTATTTGCAACGAGTATTTTCGAATTTACTTTAAGAAAAGTAGTGAAAAGGGGAAAATATATGACGACAAGAATCTCTCGTTAAATTGTGTGTTGAACTTTCATTAAAACCCAAAAGTAAATTAAGAAATGTAGAAGTTGCGATGTGGAAATACAAGTGGGAACGAAAGCCAACAAGAGGTGTCTCCTGAATGTTGCTTAAAATATTCCTTAACTTTTTAACTTTTATGTATAAGCCAAACAGTCACCTTCGATAGTGCTTATTTTTATAATCATATGTAGGTTTGTAAAGATGCATTCGTATGTATATACTTTCCGATATCAGGCAGATAGCAAAAGTAAGGGAAAACACTTGGGATAATAAACATTGATTTTTTTTTTGATGTTATAAAGGAGCTTTGGTGCTTGTTAAACATCGTGGCCACGCTAACGGAGTAAAACTGTAACAGCAGTTAGACTAATTACATAAACTGTTTCACACAATAGTGTATAAGCTGGTTTTCCATCACATCAGACTAGCACCCAAGTTAGTTTAGCATATTACTTTTTAATTTGAAACGTGATTCTTATTGATATATTTCAAGTTAAAATGTGATATGATGGTAGTGATAAGGAGACAGGAATAACTAGCATAGTTAATGGCAGAGTTGTTACTTTTTAAACTAAATCTGAGTTTTAGAAAAGTGACTATCAGACACCGGCAGAATGTCTGTGCTTTATTCAACCAACGGGACCTATAATTTTAAACGAAACCCATATCATAAAACCTGTAAGAAGATTACCTATTTTCGTAAGTATTTTCACAATTTCAATTTTTTGGACTAAATATTGATGGGCTGAGCCAGGCCCGTGCAGTAGTGCAACGCATGGGCGAGTGAAAGCCCAGATAGCAAGCTATCTTATTGGGCTTTCTCCCTCAAAAAATAAAATTAATATCAAGCGGGCCGATGGCCCACATATCAGATATTAAACTGATAAGAACAGATACTACACTTGATCTTAGCCAAAAGGCCGAGAAAGGTATGAACTGAAAGGTGGGCTTAGCTTCTTTATTTATACCAGCAATCTCATGTGTAAACTTTCTCTGTTTCTCGATGTGGGACTTCTTTGAAAGACATCTTCTCTCATCTTTGAAATTAAACAACTGTATTCGTTACCATCGTGGCTTTAAATGTACATTATTTTTACCGTATAGTCACTGAATTGAACCCACAATTCTTTAGGAAGCTTAAATTATTTGTATTTCTACGAATCAAATCTTGAGGAGAAGAACACTGAGTTGTCTAGGAACTCAAAAACGAAGAAACACCTTCAGTTTCTGAAAGTGTCGAGGGTATGGTTGAAGTAGCCAAAGAAATAAAGTGATATAAACAGTGTCAAGAAAATTATAATAAAACCTTCTTTATCTTCAATGTAGTTCGCAAAAGATCTTTTACTAACTCCTAACCTCGTTGACAATGCACAACTGTAAGTCACTAAGACTCTAAGCAAATCTTTAAGGTGTGTAGACCTAAACACTGTAAATAATAAACAATGCATAACTCAGAACGTTCTATTGACGTAAGGTGTGTAAATGTTCAACTCTCACTCTATGTAGCTAGAGCCGCATTTCTATCAACATAATTCATTAGCTCTGTTTGTGCCGCTTCCATTATCACTCGGAAGTCCACACTCATATACCTTCCCCTGCAACACCATATTTCAATAAAATCAAATGTTATCATATTATCAAGATTAACTGAAACAAACATATGTGCATGGTTTGGCTTAAGATAAACGATGATAATCATACCAGAAATGAGTCTTGGACCAGACTGAATTTGGAAAAGCTGGACTTCCAACTCCGTGCATTATCCTCGCTATGGCTCTTGGCGTGAACTTGGCCTGACGATTACTCTGCAAGAACACCTGTTTTTCACTCCCAACATCAGATTAACATTTTTATTGGATATATAGCAAAATAAAGAAGTGTTAAACAGATTCTTGGATCTTCTTCACCTTTATGTCTGCTCGTAGGAAGGAGCTGCATCCAAAGTACAAGTGTTGATCAGTTTAAATAGAAAGGCGACTTTAACAAAGGTGAAAATAAATTAAAACATATTTGTTTAGTGTACCAATTTTGAGTTGTCTTGCTCGGAATGTCACAACTTTCGTCTCCATTGAAGTAATCCAAAATTCTGCTTTGCAGGCTCAGAGTTTGCTTGGCACTCGAACTAGTTTCTGAAGTGTTGGAGACATTTATAGCAGCCACGGCTGCACTTGACATAATATCTAGTTTCCTTACCTGATTCAAATGCAAAATCATGGCTACATATAAGCACAAGCCTTGTTGTAACTGGAAACACGAAAGGGTGAGGAGCTGTTAACTGTAAGTGATGAACTTACTTTGCAAGATTCAACCTCTGCGAGCCATTTGGTAAGGTGGCTGGACAACGAAGATATTTCCTTTGGAGATTCTAAGATTGCGTAACAAAAGGCGGGGTCCTTCGTCTCGTATGTTACTTCCCCCTTCATCTACAATGATTTTAGGGACATATCAACGAATAAGTTATTCAGAGGTATACAATCTAAGTAACGTAGTAAAAGGGAAGTCTTGAATCTGTTAAAAGAAACCTCATGATCAAATTTATACTCAGCATCGTCAATAAGAGGACAGAAAGATAAATTAACTTTATGAGTTCAAGCGGAACTCATGCAAAAGAGTTTTTAACACAGCACAAGCAATTGAACAAACAAATGAAACATTTCAATTCAAAAAAAAAAAAGAACAAACAAATGAAACATGATCAATCCTTATGTACTGACTAAGTTTCTCGTGAAGATAATGCATGTGTTTATCAGGTATGTTCATTCATAGGTCCTTCTGTTCTATGGACTTAAGCTTCTTCTCATAATTAATGCGTGCAATTCAATCATGGTAGTTTCCTTGTTTGGTTGAACATTCTTATAAAGATGAAATGAAACTTAATATATTACTAGGCCACAGATTCGTATAGGCTAGAAAAGTTTTACCAACCTTCAGAGTTTGAATCTCAGCCAAGACATCCGTGGTTGCAACACCTGTGCTTGAGGCCACGGTTGGCATATCGAAGACATATAACCCTTGCTTCACGTGAGACCTGAAAACAGCACAAAAGCCTCAAACATTGCTGCAACTATAACATTTCTTCAGAACCACTTGACTTGTAAAGCTGATTACAATGGATAGATACTTACTTCTTCAGAATTGCTGCAACTATGATGTTACGTGCGGCCAGAGTATCTGGAGAAGACTGCAAAATAGCATAAATAATGTTCTGAGCATCAGAAGTTTAGAACATACGCATCAAACAAAAAAATATAGTAATTTGTCACTAAACGGGAATTTATCCAGCAACAGCTTCCTACCTTGTGGAAATTCAAAGTGCAACATACGTTAACCTGTGGAAGCATACGTAAGTATTGCACTTCCCCCAACTCTAAATGTGTCAAAATCGTTTGCATGACCTGCCAGATCCGCATAGAGAAGTCAGATAATTTTTGTTGAAAACGAATTTTCATGGCCACACATTCACAAGAGCATGCACCTAATGATATAAAGGTAAGGAACAATGGGTTCAAGAAATGTCAACAAGTTTCAGAAAAATACCTCTTCCTTCATGTCAAATTTTTGAGAGGCAGATTCAATGACTATGGAGCATATCTTCTCATGTTGCTTTGTGTCAGATGAGAAAACATGGGTGAGAAACTTTCCAACTGCATATTCATCGACACCATCACTGAACAAGAAATGGGGGAAACGAAAGGTGAGTATTTGGAAAGCCTTTTAAAGCAAAGACAGGACAGAAGATAGTTAGTACCCACACCAATCACCTGTGTGAAAGACTCCGAAGCTTTAGATATGTGTCCTCATCGTAAAAGAGATGACAATAAGACAACCGCCCGTCACGACCAGCACGTCCAATTTCCTGTTATAAATACATTTAGTTTCTGAAGATCGTTGCATGCAAACTAATCACTTAGCTTAAAAAATTCGAACCTGAACGTATTCTTCCAAACTGCCTGGCACGCTGAAGTGGATTACCTAGAGTAGAGCCAGAAACTTTAGAAGAATGCATATTGTTACATGAGATGCTAATAGGCGAATATATTTCAAGCATTCTGAGGGTCTGCCTTAAACTTACAGCTCCAACATCTCCCTTGTCAAGTCCCATGCCGAATGCCACAGTTGCAACAACCTTCCAAAACATACGAATTTTTTGAGTACTGTCATCTACTCAGCTTTCAGTGAGAGTTTACACGTCTAAACAGGGTGTATAGAAATCACTGAACTTATTTTCTCACCACTCTTATCTTATTGGCACAAAATGACTCTTGTATGCGAACACGGTCTTTCGCTGGAAGACCACTGTGATAGCCCTGGATAATCGGTCGAGTTAAGCTTGATTAAAACGAAACTAGCCATAGATAAACTTCTATTTGGAGATTTCAAAATGGAAAAAAACCTTTGCAGTGATGTTGTTATCGCGTAAATACTTGCTTATCATGTCAGTCTCATACTGCGCAAAACACATCCCAAAGTTTCTTAAGCCGCATCATGAATGATTGAGTAAAAAATCAGACAGTTTGAGAATATTTTGATAAAGTGTGGAAAAGCCATAAATAATTAAAGAAGTACTCTTACCTGAAACTTGCAGTAGACAATGATGCTCCGAATCTTCTTGTATGGTTGAGACTCCATCAAAATCAATAGATCTTTCAGTCTGTTAGATGTCAGATTTCAATCAGTTACAACTAGGGGAAAGCAAAAAAAAAAGGTAAAAAAACATAAACAAAGCACATGCCTGTTAGCTCCGCTCAAAGAGACAGACAGCTCAAAATTGTCTCTGAGTTGTGACTTTTGAATAAGATTGGTAGACGGTATCTCTAATGCAGACATGACAGCCTGAAGAGTCATAGTTGTGGCAGTTGCAGTCATAGCGAGAATGCAATCTGCCTTGAGTGCAGAATACAGCATCGATGCCTTGAGCCTCATGTATGAAGGGCGGAAGTTATGAGACCTGTCCAGAATAGCCTTTAAGAACCAAAAAAAAAAACAGAACAAAGAAAAGCAGTAGATACCAGATGCTGAGAAGCACTCACCATTCTGATACACAGTGTGCCTCATCCACAACGACAAGTGACACCGATAAAGACAAGCGGAACATTGACAAAAATTCTACATTCAGAAGTCTCTCGGGAGACACAAAGAGAACCTGCAATTTAAACAACACAAATGAATATGAAGTTGTCTTATCAGAAGTAAGCCCTAAAGAACATACCTTTAGGATGCCTTCTTTAAGTTTCCGCAACGTTTCCGTTGCTTCCTCAGGTCTCTAATGAAACAAATCTTTCAGAGACTATGAAATGACCCAAAAAACATAGAAACAGGCAAGAAACTAAGACACACACACCTGGCTACTGCTCAAGAGACCACCTTTAATAACCGAAGGCAAATGCTTCAACTGATCAATCATCAACGAAACCAAGGGACTCACCACAAGCGTGATCCCGGGAAGAATCATCGCCGGAATCTGGTAACAAAGAGACTTCCCAGCACCAGTAGGCAACACAAGCATCGTCGAACTCCGAGCAAGTACCATCTTAATAGCCTCCAACTGCCCATCCCTAAAAGAATCATAACCATACACTAAACTCAACAGCTTCGTCAGATTCTCATCACATGCATCACTCTTAACCGCCATAACCGCCTCCTCTACTGAACTGATAAAACCGTTATCTTCTTCTTCTTGTTCATCTCTCTGTAACCAATTTTCAACTTCTTCGCCATCGTCCTTTTTGAATTTCTTCCCTCTGTAGGAGAATTTGGTTCTGGATTTGGAAGTGCTTTTGTATTTGCTTGGGAACTTCTTCGCTCTCTTCCCGTTTAAATTCAGTTTGACGAAATTACCCTCGCCGCCGGTGCGAAACACCACGGGAGGTTTCGCTGGTTGAGAAGTTACGGAATCTGTTATGAGGTTAGGAGGCTTTCTCTTAACGAGTTTTGGAGGGGCGGTTGGTACGTGAGGGAGGAGGTCTGGGAGAACGTGATTGATTTCAATCGATTGGGGATCCGATTTCGATGTATCTTCAGGTGCGGGGGAAGCTCTGGGGAGTCTGTAGAAGGAGGAAGAAGATCTAGTGGGATTGGAGGGTTCGCAGATTCGGAAGGGGAGATCGGTGAATAACGAGGGTGGAGGAGGAGAGGGAGATGGGACTTGAGCTTCTTCTGAGTGATGATTATTCGGAGGCTGTAGATTTGTAGGTGATTTGGGCTTTGAGCGAGAAGAGGAAGAAGAAGACGGAGGTTTACGGGAAACTGGCGGTACTTGTCGTGGCGGCGGTGGCTGCTGAGGCCTTGGAGGAAGCTGTTTTTGTGGCGGTGGTGGAGGAAATGGGTCTCGGGGAGGAGTGGCGGAGATGTGAGAGCCGTCGGAGTCTGAATCGGAGTCCATCGGGGGAATTGAATTTTTGGGGATTAATCGATTTTGAGAAAAGTATTTGGGGTTTTTAGATCCATGTCACTCTTCTTCATTTTCCCGCCAGTTTTAGATGCATACCGCTTTTTTTTGGTTCATTAAACTGAAATTTCAATTTTAGTTTTCCCGGTTATGTGAGAATCGGACCGGACTCTCACTGCACAATCGACTGGACTGCTTTTTGATTTGGTTTAGGTGGCCGCACAGGCAGCAAATCCGTAGTAACCAATTTTTTTTAATAAAAAAATCGAAATTCTAATTTTAAACAAGTCTGAATCACTTGAAATAGACCCAAATACATAAATAAATTATTATTTTTTTAGTTTTTTTGAATTTTATTTAAGTTGAATAAAGAAAAAAAATAAGGGCAACTTGAGTCGAAGAGATTATTGGTAGATAAAAATATCAAATCAAAATAATATATATATAAAAAAATTCACACGTCGCAGATCTAATGTACGAATAGAAAAATGGAAATAATTACCCGAACCGTGTAACGGCTGGATTATCACCGAACCTAAGGTTCGTCTTTCCCCCGAACCTAATTGAAAAAAGGAAATAGAGAAGTTAAAAAGGAAACTTGAACCCCAAGTAGATGGATTATAAATACAGGACAGCTTCATCGTTCGTTTGACTAAAAAAACAAAACTCAAACAAAAGCGAAAGAGATCTAAACAGAGTGAATAAAGAAAGAAAAGATGAAGAGATCTATGTCTTATTCCGAGTCAGACCATGCTCACAAGAAACCTAAAACAGAGGACGATGCTAGTGATTCGTCTACCATGACGAGCCCTTTCACAAGCAGAATTCCAGAGAGCGATTTGTGGACGGTGACTCGTTTTCTTGGAAAAGGCTCATACGGATCTGTTCACTTAGCCGAGAGAACGACCAAGGGAAAAGAAGCGTATCTTCCTCAAGAGATGGTAATCAAAACCACCGAGCTCTCACAGTCTTCCCAACTCCAGAACGAGAAAAGATTCTTAAAACTTCTCGAAACCAACCCGTACGTTGTCTCCTACCACGGCAAAAAGATCACACACGACAAGAAGACCAAGAAAGCGTATTACAACACGATTCTCGAGTACTGTCCTAGCCAATGCCTCGCTAAGCACATCAAACGCCACAACGGAATCGGATTACCTGAAGAAGACGTGAAGAGATTCGCTCTCGACATCTTGATCGGTCTCAGGTACACACATGCAAAGAAGATCATCCACTGCGACATAAAACCAAAGAACATCTTACTAGCTGACGAGAGTACGGGCCTGAGAGGGCCCAATGGGCTTTTCGCAAAGATCTCTGGTTTTGGGAAAGCGATGGAGAAAGGGTCGACTGAGTATGGTGATGGGTGGGGACATAGGAGAGGCACGACAAGGTTTATGTCCCCGGAGCTTATAGTGGACAAGGTTTTGGACTATGGTGTTGATGTTTGGGCCTTTGGTTGCACGGTTCTTGAGATGTTGACAGGAGAAAGGGTTTGGAGCGAGCATGGAGAGCTTGTTTGGGAAGATTGGATAGATCTCATTGGTGTAAGCGATCTCGTTCCGTATATGCCTGGTGCTTTGTCTGAAGAAGCTAAAGATTTTGTGTCAAAGTGTTTGGAGAAAGAGCCCTCTGAAAGGTGGAGTGTTGACAGCTTAATGAAGCATCCGTTTCTTAGCTGGACTAATCAATACGCTGAAGAAGAGGAGGAGGAAGAGGAAGAAGAAATATTTGATGAAGAAGAAGAAGAAGTATATGAAGAAGAAGCTATTGAGATAGATGAAGAATACCCTAAAGAGGACTGGGAAGAAGAAGATCTATAAGGATAGGTCTTCACGTCAATTAATATTGTTTCATTATTTGTATTATTGGTGCATAATGCATACACCGATTGATTATTGTAAGAGCAAAGTTGATTTTCCAAAAGCTTGATAAGAATATATATCTAGTAAGTTTCAGTTTGTACTTAATTTTTCATTAAACATAGTGCGGTTTTCTGAGTCATGATAATCAAGCTACTTGAAATATATCTAGTAGATACAAACACCACTAAATTGGTGTCAATGGTTAGCATCTTGCAGTGTATGTGTTACCTTATTATATCTTCTGCAAGGCCGAATCACAACCATAAGTGGTCACTCAGAGGCTATGATTGTGTGATAACGTCACACTCAAAGTTACAGTTTATCAATATGGCTCTCTAAGAGCAACCAACAACTGTTATATCATCGGAAAAACACATCCGAGAACTTTATTAGAAGAGACTTAAAATGCTACAAATATTCAATCATATGATTCTAACGGTAGACAAATAGTGAAGCCATAATCATATCATTCATTCATTCTCCACCATCGCAGCGTAATGCCCAACGTTCATATTCTGCAAAATCACAAAACACACTATTCTTTAGTATTCTCTGCACAACACAATGTCGAGAGAAGACAATTCAACCACAATTTTATAATACCTTTGCTAACATCCTCTGCTTGTTCAAGAATAGTGTCCTTGCCTTGTTGAGAGCTGAGTTTGGTGATTTAAACAACCTCTGCCACAAATAATAGCAAGATGAGGACGGTTCATGCTTAAAACCAGAAATAATCAAAGGAACTGCAAACCAAACCTTTTCTTCACTAGACATAGTAGAATGTCCACCAATCTTCTTAGGAGTGAAACTAAATACATCATGAAGGAACTCATTCTCCTGCGGTTTACCAGATTAAATAAAACAGCAAAGAGTCAGCTTGTAAAGTGTGTGTGGACACTTGGAAAGAAATAAAAAATAAGAAAACAAACCTGCATATGCTTTATAAAGCCACCCCCAAGGAAATGCTTCAAAAAGTTTAACTGTCGGAAAAAGTAAACATGTATATGTTAAAAACTAGTCACAAGAAAATAAAACAGAACAAGTAGATATATACCTGTATCATCTGATACCATGTTGATGTCTGTAAAGAGTCCCCTCCAACCTTTGTAATGGTCTCAGGTGCGACTCCATTCTAATCAAAATTCAAACAAAAAACAAAGTCAACAATAAACCTCATCAAGAGCATATAAAGTGGATACATACCTCAAGAAACTCAACGAGATCTTTGAACAAACTTCGTTGTGTGTTGAGATCTTTCTTAGCGGAACCTTTACCACCTGCCTCTGCAGCGAGGTCTCTAACTTGATTAGTGACTTTAGATTTCAAGCCATGCATGTTCATCAATGCCTCCTGAGACACACTTCCTTCTTTCACTGATCCATTAGCAGAAGACGCTTTGGCTTCAGCAGCAAACTTCTCTAGAGTTCCCAACTCGAATATAAGCGCAAGCGCTTCACCTGCAGCTATCCGTACAGACCGGTCATCTTTTTCCAACAATGAGGAGAGGTATGTCACAACCCTGCAATGATTATCAATATCTAATCAGCTTATACATCCATTAGATAAGTCAAATAAATGTATGAAGCTCCACTTACTCTTGCCAAATTTTGGGACCTAGGGTCCATCTATCAACTGTTGTGAGCAGAAACGCCCAGGAAGAGACAACGGTCGTTATCACAGCAGGTGAAGGTTTGGTTGCAACAACCTGCACAAAACGCCAACTTACACTGTGAGCCTACTACACATTTTAAGATTAAACAACTGTTAGAACTCTCAGTTTAATATGTGAAAAGAGTAAGATGCATACATTAGAGCCTAGTTTGGGGTGAATCATTTGCCATATTATTTGCATAGATCTCTCGGTTTGCTCTGCATTGGCCCCACCAACGAAGGTTATGACTGCTAAACACTCAAGAATCTGAAATAAAATAGGAGGATATCAACAAGATGAACATTATTTAAAACCATTAACAGAATAACAAGCTGCTTTATTATGAAACCATCCATACCGAGGTTATTTTCAAGGCTTCGCGACCAGATTTAAGGGCTTGAGAAAGGGGAGTTACGGATTCTTCAAGAATCTCTTGTGCTTGGTCACTGAGTCCAACAGTCAATGCTAGCAACCCTGGAAACGCCACATTAACTGTTATTATAGCTGAATTTAAAAAAAAGTTGCTGAATAAGTTGTTTTAACTCGGGGACTAACCAATAACATGTGATGCTAACGAGGTCTCCTTACAAGACCCTTTCTTGATGCAGTGTAAACACTGATGTAATAGAGTGGCGAATCTGAAACGTTAACCAGAAACATTAGACAACAATGTATGATGATTGATTGTAACTCCAAGATTTTTGAAAAAAGGAATAATAGAGTATGAGATAGTTACTTCTTTTCCACAAACTCATGCTGCAAGTCGCTGTTGAATGCGTCAACAATGGAGGCCAGAGCTTGCTCTCTCGTTGAACTCCTTCACACCCAGAAAGGAAACCAGATATTATAAGTTGTCGCAACAAAATCAAGCAAAGGCATATTAAAAATCAGTATTGAAATACCTTTTCTCATAGAGAGCATCAAGGGATTGATCCAACATAACATCTTTGTGAACCTGAACTCCATCCATGCCGGGTTGCTCAGACCGCATGGTGGAGGAAGAGCTTGCACTACTTGTATCATCATCACTATCAAACAAATCCATCCGAGCGTTCTTTTTCTGCGTTTCTGCAATATTTTCCAGCAAAAAAAAAGTGAATCTTAGTTTCCTATACAAATATATTAACTTTCCCGACCATACCAAGAAACATAACAGAGACTAAAGACAAAGAAAACAAGGCGAAACTGAACTTAGATTCAGATCAATACGATTCAAAAGCAAGAACAGAAGCTTACTCTTCTCCATCAATTACTAACAAAGTTATAGGGCTTCAGAGTTTTGTCTTTAGGTTTGTATTGATCCTCACAATCGAACGCAATGTTATAACTAACGAAAACTAGAAGAAAAGGAAAACACTTAAGGAAGGAAAACACTTAAAGAGAAGAAAAAAAAAGATCAAATTCTCAAACCAGTTTTTTTTTTTTCTAATTCCGACAAAGGAACCATTTCATTACATAATGCGTGAAGTGACATAGTGCATTACACAGACATGTGTTAACCAAACTGTCTGAACAAACAAATTAGATAATAATTTCTAAAGCACTCAATACAGCAGAATCAGTGTTTTACAAGTAAGAATTCGAACTCAGTTAAATTTGAAAAATGATAACTGAAACACCAATTCGAATTAAACTAAAAATCCAATCAACAAAATTCGAAATCGAGAAGATAAAGCTTACTATTCCCCATGGTGGTTGTCTTGTAGTCGGCTGGTTATTCAGGAGAAACTAGAACTGCGTCAGAAGGACTTACGAAAACTAGGATAGAAAGAAGAAGAGGAAATGGAAGCGGGGAAGCTACAAAAGAAGAGCAACAAAAGTGTGGAAGAGGAATGATATCGGAGAGGCGATGTATCCATCAAAGAGGTAGCTACTCTTTGTTTTCAGGGAGAGAAAGCTTCGGAATTTCGTTACGTCTTTTGGTCAAAAAAGGAAGGAAGAAAACGTAGGGAGGAAAGCGGCGAGTTTATTATATACGAGGAGGGGATCAACTCGGCGAATATGCTCTCACACGTGACTCCTTTTGTAGCCGTTGGATCCTAAAGTGCCGACGTGATTATTATTATTATTTTATTATTTTGAAACACGCCGACGTGATTTTTTTTTTTTGTGCACACGCCGACGTGATTATCATTTCATTTTCTTCTGGAACACCTACTACATTACACTCTTATTTAGTTTTTAGGGGGGGGGGGGGAATCATTTTTCGTCTATTTGTTTTTTGAAAATACCCTAACCCAATAATTTACCGAGTAAAATATAGCATCTACTCTAAGCTCTCATATATTACATTTGTAGGATCCCGAAAAATATATATATTACATTTGTAGATGCTAAAAGCTCTCATATATTACATTTGTAGGATCCCAAAAATATATATATTACATTTGTAGACTTTTATAAAGACATTTTTAGCTTTATGTCATATATATATATACATTTATTTTATGCCTTTTTGAAATAGGATTTATTTTATAATAAAAATTCTTGATGAAAGTTTAGTAAGATTATATTCAAAATAGATTTGAAACTTAAAAGAAAAAATTAACATCTAAAAATGATTGTAACATATTGAAACAGTTTAATAAAATATTTAGATGTTCATTAATTTTTCCACTAGTATTCAAAATGATCTGTTTACAACAGTGTTTTGATTAGAATAATACAAACGTTTTCTATTGTTTTGTGTCATCTCAAAAAAAAATATTTGATATCTTAAGCACAAAAGTAATGACGTGACGATTCTTCACTCTCATCTACTTTGTCTCGGATATGAGCATCTCCCAAGAACATGTACATATCTACAATAGAATCTCTATAAATTAATACTCAATAAATTAATATATACACTACAAGAAACATTGTCTATAGTCACGGAATTATTTGTAGCTAAACTCCAATTTTCGAAGCTATTTGACCAATAGCTACGATTAGCCACAAAAAAATTTTGTAGCGTCGAGCTTGTGGCTATCGCTTATTTGTGGCAATTCATAGATGTCTTTCTACAACATAGCCACAACAACATTTTGTAGCTGATAGCAACAAATAGAGACTGATGTATTTGTGGCTATTTCTGCCACAAATTTCCTTTAGGTAGCCACAAATTAATTTTTGATAGCCACAATTTTTAAAGTGGCAGTTTGTAGCAATTCAATAACTATTTTACAAAAAAAAATAAAAAAACAAAATTAATTTATTTTTTAATAATTAATTAAAAGAATTAATGAAAAAACAAACAATTAATTTTATTTGAAATATTATTTTGTTATTACAATAAAATTAAAATAAATGAACTAAATTCAAAACACAAATAGCATTTTGTGATATGTCTTGGCCGTAACCACCAACCCCGCCGTTGGCAACCATAGATACTACTCACAGCAGTCTTCCTTCATAGAAGTAATGTGCATGATTCTCTTTAGAGATCTCTGATCTTTTGACTCTGCATTCACAGGAAGAGTGTTACGGCCTAGTTTCTCTGTTCAACAAATTTGTAACTTATTGGAAAATGATTAAAGCAAATATCTAACACTTTACCTGATATTCCTGGGTCGTAGTGACCACATGAATTCCTTGCAGCAACGAGTCATAGTAACAACTTGCAGTGTCAGCATCAGCTGACTCTGCTTCTTCTTTCATATGTTCACTCCATCTTGATAAGTTGATTTCCCTAGAAAATATGATTGTGTAAGGAAAAAGTAGTAAAGTAATTTGCCTACAAAGAACTCTAGCAAGTTCATTGACTTACGGTTTGCTCAAGGATTTTACTTGAGCAAGTGATCCTCGTAACACAAGTCCATCTTACACTTCTCTTTTAGCACTGAAGCCTAAGACAAAAAAATTACAACATGAGTTAGAACAAACTGCTAAAAGAAGATTCGGAAAAAACATGATATTTCTTAGAAAAGCATAAATATCAGAACAACACTTCACATATATATAGGTAAAACAATAAGACTGAACTCCTAAAATTGGGATATTTCGGTTATACTCACAGTACAAAGGAAAAGGTGTGTACCACATGAGGAAGAGGATATCATCAATTCGCAAATACTGATAGATATATCCACCTGCTAACTCCACGAGACCACAATCCTCTATTATATCTCTTGTTCCTGTAGAAGACAGGAAGAAAGCCATGGAATCAGATATAAACGAAATGCAATAAAGCGGAAGCTTCTACAAAAATTTGGGAATCGGTCTTTTCATAATAAAAAGAACAAACAGTAAGTAAAAAATAAATTGAAACCATAACCACTGAATCTGAAACTTGACTTAATTAGAAAGATTTTAAATCTGAAATTGGTATTTATTCTCTTACAGAAATCGATTTCGGAAAGAGATAATAACTGGTGAAGATCTGGACTTTTTCAAAACCGAACCCATGACTGAGGACAGAGAGATGAGAAGGAAGGTGAATAACTGTATATCAGATGCCGTCTTGAACTCCTCAAACCCTCGCTCCAGCCACCATCGGTTCAGAGCCCCAACCCAGATCTCAGCAAGATAAACTCCAAGTTACCCACAAAAGCTAGAAAGAAAATAAGTTGGAGCTAGAGCTAGAATGAAAGAAGAAGAAGAAGAAGAAGCAAAAAGCGAATTGCGTGAAGCGGAGAAGATAACCATAAGAAAAAGGGGAACGAGAGAAGGAGAAGATAAACCTATAGGTTTAGTATTTTTTAATGACAAAATTATGTGGCTGTGAGTTAATCAGCGTCTTTGTAATTCTTTTACCTGAGATGGAAACACTTAGGCGGCAAAATAACCCGGGAACTATAAATTACGTGATTACTTTCTAATTTTTACATATCTACAAACTAATTCATGGCTATTTGTAGCTATGTCGTTAATATAATTAAAGTTATATTATTAAATAGAATATTGTAAAACTATACAAACTTATATTAAGGTTTAATGATTTGAAAATTTATTTATTATGTATTTAAAATTATAATATAAATCACTACTTTAAAAACCATATAGGGTTTGAAACTAAGGTAAGAGATAGAGTTTTGAAGTAGGGTTTGGACTTTAATTTGTAGATTAGATACAAGGTGTGAGATCACAGTTTGGAAAACATGTTGAAAGTGATATACTTTTGTTTTAGTGAGATTATAATTTTTTGAAAGTGATATATTTTTGTTTTAGTTATAAATTTCTACAAGTATTCATTTTTAAAATAAATTATAAGTGGATGTTGGTGTTTAGGGTATGTTTAGGGTTTAGAATTTGAGATAAATATTTGTTTTTCTAATTTATTATTAAAGTTAGATTTTATTTTAATGATATTACTTGTTGTGTTATCTTTGGATTTTAGGATAAAATGTTAAAAACTTAAGGTTTAGAGTAGGATTAAGGTTGACATTTTTATCAATAACCATAAAATACATTATTCCTATATAATCTACTACTGTTTTAGTGACTAACAGTGAATATCAATTTCCACAATTTTTTTTGTAGCTAATTGTGACTTACGATCTAAAAATAGCCACAAAATAGAGTTTGTAGCTATTTAGCAACAAAGATCTACAAGATAGCTACTGGTTTTTGATTTTACAAATTGTTGCTATTTTTGTGGCTACTTGTAGTTTAAAAATTACAGCCACAAAAGTTTTGTAGCTAAGTTGTGGCTAAAATCAACTTTTCTTGTAGTGATATCAAATATCTCTATAAATTAATATAATTTTATAGTCACAAATTGATATCTCTCTAAATTAATAAAAAAAAAATTTGATGTAATCCCAACATTATTAATTTATAAAGGTTTCACGACATATCGATCCATTACTCTTAATTATTCAAAAAAATGTTACTCTCAAATTATTTAGGAGCTTTTATAATATTTGCAATTATGTTGCAGCAACTCAGCCCGCAAATTACTATTAGCTAGTACTGGGCCTGGTATTGTAACATTTTGGGCCGGGAGCAACACTAAATTGAAATTATATTCTAAATTCTAGAAATGGTAATGAAGTCTCAGAAAAAACTCGACTCACTTATTTGAACTTTTCTTTTAAGCGTTGATAAACTGAGATACACGAGATATTGTAAAATGAAGGGATGTAAATTCAAATATTGTAAACTAAGTCTGATTTCGTTGTTATTGAGATAGCTATGGCCTGAAGCTACACGAAATTGGGGTGCTTCTCATCCACTTGGTGACTCGTTTGGTCGATGCTTGTTTACGTAATCGATCAGGTTTATAAGTTCATAACTAATATTATCAGTTGACTTAAGAGAAAAGATATATTGTAAACGAGGTCAGAAGCGCATGCTTCAGTGACTTTTATTCAGGACTGGTAGTGACTATTACTTGGGGTTGTACTTGGTACCAATGACCATATTTAACGTGAGACACGACATTAATTAGAATAAGCACTATGACATTGTAAAATGGTTAGAAGCGCATGCTTCAGTGACTTTTATTCAGGAGTGGTAGTGACTAGTACTTGGGGTTGTACTTGGTACCAATGACCATATTTCACATGAGACACGACATTAATTAGATTAGGCACTATGACATTGTAAAATGGTCAGAAGCGCATGCTTCAGTGACTTTTATTCAGGACTGGTAGTGACTAGTACTTGGGGTTGTACTTGGTACCAATGACCATATTTCACGTGAGACACGACATTAGAATAAGCACTATATGATATTGCAAACAAGGTTAGAAGCGCATGCATGCTTCAATGAATTTTATTCAGGACCGGTTGTGACGAGTACTTAGGGTTGTACTTGGTAAGTTGGTAGTAGTGACCATATTTCACATGAGACACGACATTGGAATTAAGCACTATGATGTTGTTCTAGTTCCTCTCCACATCTCAAACAGAAGAAATCTATTTATAAATTTTCTTCTTTTTTTCATCATCATTTTTCCCCCAAACTCCTTAATAATTATCCAGTACTAAGTAGAAAGGAAGGCTTGATATTATTTGACTTTGGTATCAAACATGGCCTCTTTCGTGTGGCATCCTAGGAGAAAATATGTTTGGCTAGGTTGGAAGGGTTTCCTCGGCCAAATACGTCAATAATTTATCACTCTTTTCAATTTTATGCATATGATTATAAAATAAAGCCGGCCGAATGATTTAACTATATTTTTCAACGTACAGCTAGTTCAAATAAATTTTTGTTTTCAAAAATGTGCGAGGAAGGACTGATTGTTATTTTATTAGTCCCATATGACTTTTTCATATTTTATTACCCGTAACTTAATGAAGAAAAAGACAAAAAAGAATTAGCAAAAATATCAGAATGAGCAGCAACACGACACCGATAGGAAATGATACGTTCCCAAAGTAGACATCTCTGGTAGGGTTCAATTATAGGAATTGTTCATATGTTCTAAAACGGCAAGTCCTTCACGTAAGCCGAGACAAAAGGTTTTGATGAAATCCCATGTCGATTCCGTTGTAAGCCAATGGTGCGTACATCCATAGATCATCCGAGCTCAATAACTACATTTTATGCATTTTGCTTAGTTAGAACACAGATGATGTATATAGATATAGGTGGGTTCTAACATAAATAAAACCCTAAAAGTAATTTACATACTTTAATTTGAAGCTGCAAGAACTTCACGTAATTCACCGCTTCTTCAAGCATCGTGCTTATATCGACTTTTGTCCCGTTTGGTACAAGGTTTTGCAGCGTCCTGAGCCTTTCGTTAATCTTCTCTCGTCGTTTCTGCATAAATCAATACCATAATTAATTAAAAACCCTTTTTCTCAAAAAACTAATTAAAAACCCCACTAAAACTTTTGATTATTGTGGATTTATTTTGTTAATTCTTGAAGTGATCTAAATTTTGATGCACCAGTAAAAACTACATTTATTTGGCCGAAAACCCAAAGTTAGTAGATAATATTTTTCTAAAGAGAAAATATCATTTTCACATGATTAATAAATATGATTTTGAAACAGATATTTGGCTTAATTGAGTTTTGCTCTCTAATATTATTTTTTCTTCGAGTTTAATTCGAAAAGTCCTCAAAATTTACACATGATTTCTTACCCGAGCATAGAGGCTTTGAGGATCAGTAGCTTGTCCTTTGTTGGCTCTTGTTTTGCCTTTAAAACTGGTGACCGAATCTTTCTCATCAACTGAAATGGTGCTTATACTCTGACCAAGTCTCCAGCTAATGTTACTTTGGTCGATTGTATTGGTTTCCGGGTTTACCCTCTGTTTTTTCTTGGCTTTGACTAGCTCCTATAACGTGTTAATGATTTTGTAATTAATTAGTTTATTGCTTAGTACAGTTAATAAAGGTAGACGTTATTGATATTGCACTTACTTGTCTTGTGATGTCGCAGTTAGCGTTAGTATTGTGTAGATTCTCTAGGTTAAGTTGTTTCCTCTTACGCGTTGCCGTTTCTTGGAGGTGGTTTGGATCCCAGGAATCAAGCATGGTCGGAAGATTCCCTCCCAGCATTGCGCCAAGTGGGAACATATCAGGAAGTAAGAGAGCATGATGATCAGAAGTATTTTGGTGATGATGAAGATAATCATTGTAGAGGCTAGAGAGGCCGAGAATCTCATCTCTTGGTCGGTCCTCCTTCGATGATGAATATTGATCAGAATTGAACATCCACAAGAGAGACTCCAATTCACCATCAACAAAAAGGTCCATCGCTCAAACCCTTAACTCCTTTCTTTCACCTTCTTCTTGGTTCGTTTATTGTTATAATAGCTATTGATCTTTGTGCAACTATATATAGGACGATCAAGAGAATATTCCTATTCAGGAAGATTTAGAGATGGAGAAGAGAAACCAATAGATTACTTAACTGTTACAATCATTTGTGACATGAAAACAAAAAACAAAAAAACCATGCATGATGTTGAACACGCTCTCGTCAACTTGTGGGGTCGACAAGGAGAGATGAGACGCAGTATTCCTGCTCAAGATACATTAATACATTCTTTTCTCTTAATAAGAACCCATTCATATATAATACATGTTTAAGATGCTAAGATATTAGTATAATAACGAGAGAGGCCGCATACGAGAAGCGTTGAAGAATAAAGATATAGCCACCCGAGTGCACGATTAATGAAAACCTAAAGAACAAGATAAATTTCAATCAATGTAGGTGTCTCTTAGCTACTTTGTTTTCTTGGGAGAAGATGCAGCATATATCCGTCGATAAATTATTTGGTCGAAGCAGTGAGTTTATTTCTTCTTCTTTTTTTTTTTTTGTTATATATCAAGAAAAGCTCATTAGCGTTGTTACATTACTCCTCATTGTTGACGCCAAATGTTACCCTTTAGGTTTATACGTTTTCGTTTGTGTTGGGTTAAATGATTAAAAACAAAACCAGAAAGAAAAGTAAAAATAGGTCATACAGTGCAAGAACTTTGTATACATTTAATTTAAAACTTTGTATGTATTTAGTTTTATACATTAACTACCATCAACTAGAAGAATTTAACATTTTAGATGCAATCAAACGAAATTCAACACATTATCTTATATGTTTATATAATTGCATGGTTATCAATGATATATTTATATATGTAATAATTAACATGCTATGAATATTCCAAAAGAATAAGCTAATTATATGTATTATAGTTGGTTATTTAATAAAATTTTAAAACCTTGATAATAAATTTTAAATTTGAAACTAAAAGCTTATTATCTTATTGGTTCGGCTGGGTGGCAAATTCCCTTATAACATATAAGTTATGAAAAGTCAAGTTAGGTAGATGAATAAACATATTTACAAAAAACGTAATTAGGACGGCACAAATTATAAAAATTGTGAAAGAGATGATTTTTATTATACTCAATGCTGATGTATTTGTACAAGAGTTGAGTTTACAAGTAACTAAAACAAAACTGGAGAAATCTCTCCGTTCTACAAAGATTTAAATTTTGAGCTTTCCATATACTTTAGAATGAATTTAATTAATGAACCAGAAAATAACACTCTTTTATATCATATTTTCGATTATTTAAATTTATCTCAGTAATAATTATTATAGATAAAAGGGGAAAAATTAAAAATTTGTATTGAAAATATAAAACTAAATTGTGAAACAAATAAATATCTCAAATTTTTGTATTCGTTTGAACGGATCAAGTATATGATTTGCTTCAGCCACAATTACATATTGTTGAGTATTTCTATATGCTTTTTGAAAGTGAAACATGATTTGCGCAAATCTAAGCTGCAGCGATATTGTCACAATCTTTCACATGAGTAATGTTAGTTGAGATTCACATTTGAGAGAAAAGAGAACATATACATCAAATTTAGGCGTCAGCGATTGTTCTGTAGTCAGTCTCAGTTGAAGAATTTACAATTATTTTATTTTTTTATTATACCATATTAATTCTATAAATTAATATCAATATATTAATAAATTCTAGAAAATATTTTCTCCAGTTTTGTTTTTTTTTTCCAGTTTCAAATTAGGCTAGTATAAATATAACATATTTTGATACGATATCAAAATAAGGAAATTTTAAAAACTCTCAGGTAATTTTATTTTATTAAAATTATAATAACTACTGTATATAGATTTATATAAATTTTATATAAAAATAAGTAAAATATTGTATTATTTACTTTTAATAATATAATTTTTAATTTATTTACTATCACAGTTATTTTCTTGGAACGCTATTACAGTCATATATAAGGATGTTTGGTTAGACTATCTACATAAATTAGCTGTAAATATATTGTTGCAGATTTTTTTCTGGATAGACATTTTTGCAGTAGTTAAGTTAGTTTTATAAGTTAAATTTAGTTGTAGATATTCCAAAAAAATATGTACAAATGTGATGTATATGTAACATAATAGTTTTTATTAATTAAAAAATAATATTAATAAAACTATAAATTATCACATTTATTATTATTTTAATGTAAAATTCAATAGTGTATAAATTTCTCAAAATTAAAAAAATTATCAAAATTATAGTAAAAATCATATAGACAGGTTCGTGGAATCACTGCGTCGTTAACCTTAATTATGCCCTTTGGATACTCTTACTAGTATAATCACCATTTTGTTTAATTACCAAATGAATTAATTATACGGCTTATTTAATTACATACATTTAAAATTAAGTTAAGGCATGATAACTGCTGGTTTTTTTGTCTCTCTTAAATTCAGAATGTTTCATATATATTTATCAAATTGGAATACTATAATAATATACAACCTAGTTGTAACCTAGTTGTGGCCCGATATTATAATAGGATCCGACGTATAAGGATGTGGATTATAAAATGGAAAGGTACAAAAAGGTGTGCGTCGTAGATAAATTGAACATCGAATAAGACGAAAAGTACATAACTTCTATATTGCGTCGTGGAAGACGCAAGCCAAAGTACACATTTCCACAATCAGGATGAAACATGTAAAACTGTACTGTATTCTTATAAGCTTTTTTGGTTATACATTAAAAAGTCAACTAGGATTTCATTGTGATAAAAATGATTAGAATACACTTCTACAAAGTAAAATGGATGTACTTTTAGCAGCGTTTACTTGTTTTTTTAAATCTATTAATCAAATAGTTAATTATATATCCCTTCGCCATCAAAGTGTTTACTTTTCTAAATGATGTAGACAATAATTGAAGTTAGCTTCTTAAAAAGAATGACGTTCTTTTAGTTAAGTTTTAGGTATCATTAAACTATCGAGTATGAAAAGGGTATGATTCATTCAGAAAAAGAAAAATATATATGATCAACTATAGCTTAAATAACAACTAGAAACAGACCCACGCTGTAGTGGATTTTTTTTATCATCTTAAATATTTAGTTTCAATGTTAAAATATACAATTTGTATTTCGTGATATATTGTCTAAAATAAATGCATATTATTTGCAATTTCTATTATTATTTTATATTTTATATGTATTATACTTTGACGTTAGTTATTGGTCAGTGAAGTCTTTATGCTATAGCTTTACTTTGGCATGATAACATATTAGTTACACACAGTTGATTTCATAAATTATAATATTTTTTATTTCGGTTGTTTAGACAAAATAATAAACGGTGTTGCTAACAAATAGCTATTGCTAACATATAGTTATATACATAATTATCCTGAAATACTTACTTACATATTATTAAATTGATAATTTTAAGAATTGTAGATCTATTAATTTTATTTATAAACACATTTCTTACATCATTTATCAATACTTTTTATAACAATTTTTGTTTAAAAATTTTGTATTTGAAAAATCGTATTGTTGCAAACTGTACATTATATATACATATATATATATATATATATATATATATATATCATATTTCCATTAACATTTTTAACAATTGAAATGAAAATTTTCTAGTTTTACTATATTTAATATGTTTTGAATTTTATTTTGGCTATATTTCTTACAAATCAATTTGTTATTTTAAACAAATTTTCCTACAAAAAAGTATTCAATAATTCATTAGCATCCAAATACTATTACAATAAGAGAATTTGGTAACAGATAAAGCCCAATATAATGAGAAACACTATAGTCCTAAATTAATCATGATATAGTTAAAATACATATGATAGTTATTTTAGAAATTTTGCTTTATTTTTTATTTTTACAACAGTAACTAAACTACGAAATATGTCCTACCGTTCAAAGAGAAAAACCGATGGCATGGAATCAACATAAAACATAGCTGAAGAAGAACTTCGAACATCTCGTGCAAACTTGTCCATCACTAGATTAGCTGCTATATATGTCGAATCTTAAAGTTAGAGAGAAAAAAAATCTTACTACGTCGAAATTTCTCCAAGTGTTTAGTATAAATTGGTCATTTTTCAGATAAATATATTTATTACTAACGATATCTAATCAATATCTAATCAAATTTATTCAAACTAAGGCCAATAGAATTTTTAAAAATAGTTATAAGTAATATCTGATTATGAAAATTAGGTTGTCTAGATTTGATATAATCTAAAAACATTCAGAACCCTTTAAACTAAAATAAAATATTCTCAACGTCTTATTTCTATATTGTATGGAAGATATGTGAAAAATCTAGTATCAATCGGGTATGAATCAGGAAAAGGGTTGGTAATGTTGGTTTGTTTAAACTATAAGTCTATAACAGAATCAAAGCATGCGGCTAAACATAATTGTATTATTAATGAATTATAGTTACCTTTAATAAATAATCATTTGAATAGTTCCAAAATCTAAATATCACACAATATCTAGTAAGTTAGGTCTAAATTGGACTCTAAATTAATAGATTTGATTAAATTAATGATTTCTTTGTCTTTCAGAGTTTATGAAATCTCCCTTGTTTTTTAATTAAGCGTAGAAGTTGTTTTTTTTTGTCAAGATCATAGTTTTTCTATTTATTTAGGAAAAATAATAGAAGGTTATGCTAAATAAAAAAAAAAAGTCATGCTCTTCTAACTTTTAAGTGAGACTAAAATTGTAATATCATCCAAAACGTAACCACTGATGTTGTGTGTGTGCTTTTTTCCAAAAGTGTAGACGACAAAAATTTGTGTTTCATTGAATCGTTTAGAAAATGTATTTGAGGAAATGCGAGGTGCATAAAATAGCAATATACTATCACAACAGTGATTGTATTACTATGCGTTACACAATGATGGTTTTATGTGGTGCATAGGTATT